ATGTAAAAGTAGAGATTAAGAGGCCAGGAGCTTACCTGACATAGAGCTAATCATATGTGTATAAAGTCAATTGAAAATAGATCTCAGTAAATAATAAGAGTGGGAATAAGAGAGGGAGGAAGAAGTTTGTAACTGTGAAGCTGTATAGTTCTGCATATATTCCTACGGACTTACTTCTAAGGGTACAGTTTAAAAACTTGTCACGGGAGTCCAAATACCATTAAAATTGGTGGTAAAAATGCCATCTTAATTGTTAAAGTGATCTATTAAGTGTTAAAGTGAACATAGGTTTAAGTGTTAAAGAGATCATATAAATAAGATCAAGTGCCCGACAATAATAATAGATAGAATTAAAAAGGAGAGAATGTCCAACATGGGAAGCAGTCCACACAGCCGACTCATAGAATGACAATCACTTTAACTAGCACTCTGACCTCAGAGTCAGCCCTTAAGGCATTCTGGTCTGGCTGAAAAGCCCATGAGAGCTTTAGGCATGGGAAGCCAAGACACTGTGGTAAAAAATGTTCTACATGAAGGATCTCTGTGAGTGAGACCCCAATGGAAAGAAGTGGCCATCAAAGAAGGATGCATTTTTCTCTGAAGGGAGGAAAGAACTTCCACTGTGCTTATGGTCTTGTCTAAATACGATGTAGATTGTGGATTCAAAAGGCTTCCATAGCCTTGGCAGCTCATGTCAAGAGCCTTGGGTGATCACTGATGTCATACATAAGAGTGTTAATTGTTAAGTTAACAACAAGAATCACTGTGCACTAATTCCCCATGCAGGACCTCTGTCCTCAATGAGTTGTATTGACAGTTGACTTAAAAACCAGTTCTCAAACAGTTTTTTTTTTGTGTGTGTGTGTGTATGCAAATTGTTGAAATCTTTACTTAGTATAGAGTTGGTCTTCTGTGTACAAAGTTAATTGAAAATGAATCTTACTGGAGAATGGGACTAGCAAGGGGAGAGGGAGGAGGAGGAGGGGTGGGAGGGCTGGTATGGTGGGAAGAATAACTATATTCCTAAAGTTGTACTTATGAAATTTGTGTTCCTTAAAAAATAAAATAATAATAGTAATAAAAAAGAGGTAAGGGCATTAGCAGAAAGTTGAATTGGAAGCAGAGGAGCCAGAATTGGAACTAGCATCCTGACATGGGATGAAGGCATCTCAGGCAGCAGCTTAACTCTCTGCACCATAATGCCAGCCCCTGGAGAGGTTTGATTGGTGGTCTCTTCCTAACATCAGAACATGCTCTGTGACTTTCCAGAGTGACTACAGGGAAGGTGCATTTGCAACTGTTCTTGCCTCTCCTGCTCTGAGAGCAATCTAGAAAGTCTTAGAGAGGGAGGTATAGCCCTTTTCCACCTTCCCAAAATAGGAATCTAATATACTTAGATAGTATATATAGTGTCTGTGCAAATAGTGTCTGTGTCTGTCTATAGGCAGCCTATGGCCCTGAACATGTAACCTGGTTGTCACTCCTCATTCAGTCTGGGAGAATTCATCTTTTTCTGTTCAATGATTACACTGCACCCAAACGGCCCTTGTGCATCTCTGCCCATAATCCATATGGCACACTGTGGAAAAACAATAAATCATAAATGTATCATTTGCACAGATAATAATGCAATTGGGACAAACTCTTGGGAGAACCCTGCTGGACATCATCATAAAATGTCACCATAAGGGATTCTAGAAACTTTTTACAGCTTATGGATTGTGACACATGAAGTAGAGAAACACTGTTTATAGTAGGCTGATAATTCCTAAGCAGACATCACCTGAGAAATACCTACAGGTAGACAAGGGCACATCATGGGGCCAGCACTATGGCACAGCAGGTAAAGTCACCATCTGTGACATTGGCATCCCACATGGGGACTTGTGTCCTAGCTGTTCCAATTCTGATCCAGCTCCCTGCTAATGCACCTGGGAAAGCAGTAGACAATGGCTCGAGTACTTGGGCTCTTGTCACCTACATGGGAGACCTGGATGAAGTGCCTGGCTTCTGACTTCGGCTTAGCCCAGCTCCTGCTGTTGTGGCCATCTGGGGAGTGAACCAGTGGATGGAAGACTTCTCTGTGTCTCTCCCTCTCTCTCCCTGTAACTCTGCCTTTCAAATAAATAAATAAATCGTAAAAGAAAAAGGAAAGGGCACATCACATTCCTCTCCTACCATGTTCTCACACAAACCATTGCCTTGTCTTGAAAGGGAGTGTGCTACTCACTCCACTTGGTTGCCCCTGGGCCCTATGCCTGTAGTGGGAGGACAGTTGTGGTTTGATGAGGAATACATCATGAGTAGCCTATCCTGGGTCAAGTATTTGCACCGTTAGGAACTTGAGTCATCTACAACAGCTTCCCTTCACTCAGATGGAGCTAATGTTTCTGTCATGCCAGACCATGCCCTGATGTTAGGGGTAGGGGTTTCTTTTCATGTAAAAGCCACACTATGGGGGTTGGCACTGTGGCGTAGCAGGTAAAGCCACCACCTGCAGTGCCAGCATCCCATATGGGTACCAGTTCAAGTCCCAGCTGTTCCACTTCTGATCCAACTCTCTGCTAGGCCTGGGAAAGAGTAGAAGATGGCCCAACTTCTTGGGCCCCTGCACCCATGCGGGAGACCTGGAGTAAGCTCCTAGCTCCTGGCTTTGGATTGGTGTAGCTCTGGCCATTGCAGCCAATTGGGGAGTGAACCAGCAGATGGAAGACCTCTCTCTTTCTCTCTCTCCCCCCCCACCTGTGCCTCTCTGTAACTCTTTCAAATAAATAAATAAATCTTTTTTAAAAAAATAGCCACTCTGTGGATATTCAAAATTTGTCCCTAAATGCTAGAGGTTTTCACAAAGGTATCCTTTGTGACACTCCAGAAGATCAAGTTCTATGCACAAGCTATCTCCCAATATCCACCAGTGTTGAATAACTTGTCAGCTAGTGGAGAGAGGGTTCTATGAAAATAATCAATAATTTGATTTCTTTGAAAAGCAACTAAGGAATAGATAAAGGAACCAAATGGAGCCTGCTGCAGTGGCTTTTCACTTCCCTTTGGGAAGATGGGGTTGATCATCCTCCAGGAGACCATCCCTGGGGAGCTTTTATTTCTTGGCTGCACAGTTGCATGCCCTTGAAACTGGTCTGCCTGTCACCCACCCCCACCCTCCTGCTCCTTAGAGGCCCACTGGTCTACTTCAGAGGCTTTGTCCTAGTTCTAATGCTCCATGCCCTCTGCTCGCCTTAGCCTGGCTCACTCCTCCTCATTAGTCTCAGCTGCAAGGTCAAGTGCGAGAAGCCGTCCCTGACCTCCAGTGAATCTTCCTTTGCTGTTGCCTGTTAGAATTCTTTGCCATCACACTTCCTCTATTTCCTTCTTAAGTTTATTGGCCACCTCTCCCTTTATGATTGAATTATGTCCCCCTCCTCCCACCAGTTCCTATGCTGAAGTCTTAACTATCTCAGAATGTGACCTCATTTGGAAGTAGGGTCATTATAGCTGTACTTAGTGAGGAGGAGACCATACTGGAGTAGAGGGAACCCCAAATCCAATCACACTGGTGTCTGTACAAAAAGGAGATGTTCGCGGGTAGGCGTGTGGTGCAGCAGGCAGGCTGCCACTTGGGATGCTCACATCCTAATCACAGCGCCTGGGTTCCAGTCCCAGCTCTGCTTTGGGTTCCAGCTTCCTGCTAAGGCACACTCTGGGATGCAGAAAGTGCTAGCCCAAGAACTTGGGTCCCTGTCACTCACGTTGGAGACCTGGATTGAGTTCAGCTCTCAGCTTTAGCCTCTGCCCAGCCCTGGCTCTTGCAGGAATCTGGGGAGTTAGCCAACAGGTGGAGGCAAGCACTCTCTCTACTCTCTTGAATTAAAAAAAAAAAAAGTTTTTAAAGATTTATTTATTTATTTACTTGAAAGTCATAATTACAGAGAAAAGGAGACAGAGAGACAGAGAGAGAGAGAGAGAGAGAGAGAGAGAGAGAGAGAGATCCTCCATCCACTGTTTCACTCCCCAGGGCTGCACCAAGCGCTTCATCCAGATCTCCCACTTGGGTGGCAGGGGCCCAAGGGATATGAACCAGCATCCATATGGGATGCCGGCATCGCAAGCGGTATACCCGCTATGCCACAGAGCCAGCCCTCCTCCCCCAAAATGTAAAGGAGACATTTGGACGCACCGACGTATACAGGGAAAATGCTATGTGGCTATGAAACTGGTCCGGTAGTCAGGGAGAGCCCTGGATCAGATCTTCCCTCACAGCCCTCAGATGGCACCAACTTTGCCCACACCTTGATTTCACAGGTTTCTTACTCCTCAGAACTTCAAGAGAATAAATGTCCATGATCTACACCACCCGGCCCGTGATGCTTTGGTGCAGCAGCCCTAGCGAACGCACTCAGCTCCCCAGAGCTGTTACCTGCCCTGTGGTGCGCACAGGTGTCCCGGAACGCACCCGAACTCTTCTCTAGCAGCGTGTCCGCTATTGGACGGTTTCACCGGGCGTGTTCGAACTCCGGTGCCTGCCAAGGGAAGAGAGCTGTGTTTGTCTTTTGCAGCCACGACTACAGGTGCACAATAAAAACCTGTCGAGCAGGCGAAAGCATTTCACTCCTTTCCAGTCGCTGCGGGGGAAAAGGTGTGCGGGCTGACAAGTCACGGCGCCTATTCTCCGGGCTGCATGCACGCTCGCGACGCGCTGGTCGCTCTCCGGACAGGGAGGCCGGTCCCTCACAGGTCCCTCGAATGGGGCTCCGAAGATTGAAGCGAGACGCAGCCTTCTCACAGGCATGGGTCCTGGCCCCAGGGGGCCTCTCGGTACTTGTAGTCTTGTCCACGATGCCTTCGCCCGCAGAGCGAGCGCTGAGACCACAACTCCCGTCACCCTCCGGACCCTGGAGCCGCTAGAGCGCATCCTCCGGAGGCGGTGCCAGCGCCATTGACTAACCTGCTGGCCGAAGGGCCCGCCCCCAGGAACCCAAGCGCCTCCCCGATTGGTCAGCCGCCCCGCCTCTCACCGGAGGGGGCGCCAGGTGAATGAAAGGGGGGCGTGTCGGTGCGCGCAGCTCGCTGGTGGAGAGGCTGGACCCAGCTGGAAGGTGAGAGCCGAGACGCGGGTTCGCGCTGCCACTTCTCTTGGTTTGAGGAGAATTCGGGCACCCCGCAGGCCTGCCCTCTCTGGGGGAGGGCAGCGGGCTCGGTTGCCTGCTCTGGGTCAGCAGGCTTCGGACCGCCCGGCCTTGGCAACTCTCGGGACCCTCTTAGCAGGAGCCTGTGCTGGGTGACAGACCCCCTGCTTCGGCTCCAGCTCACCCCCTTTGCTGGCATTGGCCCATCGCGTCGTCCAGCCAGGCGGGGGTCCAGGGGCTTACACCGATGGTGGACGGCTCCCAGGCGCCAGGGCTCGGCCAAACTGGGGCAGTGCCCACTGCAGCCACGGGCACTTTGTCCGCGGGAGGCCGCGAGAGGGGCAAGGCCTCGGGGGCCCGAGGGCCATGCTCAGTAGCCTGTTCCGATGGCCTCCAGCTGTCGTCTATCTGGACCGCGGAAGATCCCTGTCTTGAGCATTTTAGTAGGCGAGCCAAGGATGGAGTTGCCCTGAAATTCTTCCCGTGGGAAACTCTTTTCCCAGGTCCTTCTCCACTCCGTGCCTGGGAGAAAGGAGTGACTTCCCCAGCCCGTGGCACGCTGTCCTAGACGGTTTGGGGAAACCTGTTTGCTTAGGGGATACGGGCATCACCTCTGGAATCAGCAGTCAGACCTGGGTTCCAAACCCTAGCTTGGGCATGTCCTCTCTGTTTTATAAATGTTTGCATTTGTTTGACAAGGGTAGGGGAGAGAGAGACAGAGACAGAGAGACACAGAGAGACAGACCATCTGCTAGTCCACTCACTAAATGCCTAGGAGCCAGAAGCTCAATCCAGGGCTACCACATGGGTGGCAAGGACCCAACTACCTGAGCCATCACCTGCTGTCTCCTAGGGTGCACATTAGCCCAGAGCTGCCAGGGACTGAGCCAGGACTGGACCCCAGGAACTCTGACATGGGATGGGGCATCTTAACCATGAGGCCAAATGCCTACCCCTGCGTCTGTATCTTTGAACCTTGGCTTTCTTTGCCCAAGAGAATGTAGTGGTAGTGTCTGCTGCACTAGGTTATTGTGAGGTTAGAATTAATATGCTGGTGGTTTCCACGGTGCTTCATTAGGAGCAGTGCTCGATAAATGTTAGCAATTGAGGAGCAGGCTTTTATTATTCTCCAAGTCTCGTGAGAATCAGTGGAATTCAAAGCCACCCTTGGCCCGTGAACAAAGGCAGGCGTGTGATCTGGCTAGAATGCCCTCAGCCTCATGTAGGGGTTTGCATTCCAGGTGTGGTGGTGACATCTGCCGTGTCCTGGAGGACAGACACTGCCTTGGGTTAATTTTTCTACCCCTGGAACCTAACTCGTGTCAGCCAGCGTACACATACGTAGCTCGTCATTTGAACTGACTTGGAAGCATGGGAAGGTTTGGGAGGGTCCCTGGCTGAGTGTGGCTAAATGTGCTGCTGGGAGCTGCCTCCCCTGTGGGCTGCTTTTCTGGGAGAAGTGGCGTCCTACACCTCGTCCCAGGGACACACTGAAGGCAAGGGAACTTGAGATGGGTGAATATTTCCTCTGTCTATACCAAGTGCAGGACTGGGGAAAGCTTTGGACAAAGTATATGGATAGACTTTTGCAAAGTCAAGTATTATTTGCATGACCCAGTACGATCCCTGTTTGCAGTGAGAAAGCCAAAGGGAATGGGTTTGGGGTCACACTGTTGCTGCAAGGAACATCTTTCAGTAAAAGATAGGAGTAGTGGGGAAGAGGCCTGGTAGGTCGACGGTTCTGCAAGCTAAGAACTTACCTCCCTGGTTTGCCAACTCCTCACCGCTCAGCCCTGCCCCTCACCGACACCTTTTTCTCCTAGTTAATTTTTTTTCCTAGTTAATATTTATTTATTTGAAAGAGAGAGAGAGAGATCTTTTGTCCATCTGTTCACTCCTTAGATGTCCAGAACAGCCAGAGCTTACACACTCGACCCACGAGGCCTGCGCATTGTGGGATGGTGGGGCGATGGCGTTCTTTGACAAGAAACACCGGAGACAAGTTTTGGTGAACATATCCACTTTATTAACGACCAGGGACACCTTTTAAAGGGCAGGCAGAGGGGGCGTGGCTAATTCAGGGCAACACTAATTCTATAGGATAGAGCTGATATTGGTGCCGCTATGCTTCTCCAATCAGCTTGAAGGTCACGTAGCTTTCCCGATGGGCCTGGGCCACACCAGCGAGCAGTTTACCTGATTGGCAATTACGGGGCCCTTTAACAGGCAGCGGAGGTGGGGGAAATGTGCCTGGGGCTCCCGCCACCTGCCAGGATCAGGCTAACCTGCGTGGGCTAGGCAGGCAATCTCACAGGATCACCCAAAGAGCTGAACCAGGCTGAGTCCTGGAGCCTGGAGCCCAATCTCAGCCTCCACATGGTGGCACAAACCCAAGTACTTGGGCCTCCTCTGCTGCTCCCAAGTTGGGCCTTAGCAGGACACTGGATTGGCAGAACCAGGGCCTCAACCAGGCACTCTGTTAGAGGACGTTGATGTCCCAAGCATTGTCTCTGCTATACCAAACACCTACCCCTTGATTGTTAGTTAAAAAAAAAAAAAAAAAAAAAAGGAATACATGGACAGTAAAACATTTCAACTCTACAAGAAGGTTTAAAATGAAAAGTGAAGGTCCCGCTTCCCAAGGGTATCTGCTGTTAACTCTTGTATAATTTACTGAAAACATTATACACATATACCACCAACGCATATCTTAATGGGTTCACACTGCATATTTTATTTTGGATCTTGCCCTCTCTTTTTATTATGTCTTAGTGACATTTTCATATGAACACAGGTAATTCTCTTTTTTCCCTTTTTTAAGAGAGGGTAGGGGAAAGAGGGAGAGAGACAGAGATCTGCCATCTGCTTGTTCATTTCCCAGATGGCTGCAATGGCCAGGGCTGTGCCAGGCCCAACTCAGGAGCCTGGAGCTTCTTCTGGGTCTCCTACATGGGTACAGGGGCCCAAGCAGTTGGGCCATCTTTCATTGCTTTCTCAGGTGCATTAGCAGGGAGCTGGATCAAAAGTGGAGCAACTGAGTCTGGAACCAGTGCCCGTATGGGATGCCAGCATCCCATGCAGTGGCTTAACCTGCTATGCCGCAGCACCAACCCCTACCACAGATAATTCTGGGTAACAACCTGGCTAACAAAGGGATTCTCCAAATATTAATGTTTATTTGGGAGTAGCATTGCAATGGGAATATGTGTGCCATAGTAAACTATGTGCTTATTCAAAGAGGTTGAGACAAGGCAAGCTTTTTGTTTTTGTTTTTGTTTTTGGGAAAGGCAGGGAGACCCGAAGAGATCTTCCATCGGCTGGTTCACTCCCCAGATTCCCGCAAACAGCCTTGAAGCCAGGAGTCCAGAACTCAATCCGGGTTTCCCACGTGGGTGACAGGAACCTTCTCAGGGTATGCGTTGGCAGGAAGCTGGATTGGACGTGGAGCAGCCACAATGCCAACCAGGCCCTCAGGATGGGATGTGGGTGTCCCAGGTAGGGACTTACCCTCTGTGCCACCGCGACCCACCCCAAGGGGGAAGTTCTTCAGAGCAAAGTGAGGATTATGTAAAACATTTTGAAACCACAATCCTTGGCTGCAAGGATTAGTAATAACAGCGGTGATGGTTGCACAGCCAGTTGTTGGGCACAAGTCCTTGCAGGAGTATTTCTTGTGCAAGGCGTGGTTCTGGCCCGGTCTTTTGTGATAGTTCTTGTCAGCCATACCTGTGAGAACTCCTCCTTTAATAACTGCTGGCTTTCTTTATCTTGTTTTCTTTTATGTTGGGGCCTATCCCTCATTTTGTTTCTGACAGCTCTCACAGTTGAATAACACTCTACTGTGTGACTGTGAGATCATTAATGTAACTTTTCCCCTATTAGTGGACATTCACATTGTTTCTACTTTTGCACTAGTACAAAAACCTGATGCAATGGATACCTCCAAGTTTATAATTTGATATATTTTTAAAACAAGATTTATGTATTTGAGAGAGTTACACAGAGAGAGGAAGAAACAGAGAGAAAGAGAGATCTTCCATTCAATGGTTCACTCCCCAAATGGCCACTATGGCCAGGGCTGGGCTACACCAAAGCCAGTAGCCAGGATCTTCTGGATCTCCCACATGGGTGTAAGGGCGCAAGGACTTAGACCATTTCCAGTTGCTTTCCCAGGAGCATTAGCAGGGTACTGGATCAGAAGTGGAGCAGCCGGGTCTAGGACTGGCACCCATATGGGATTCCAGCATTGCAGGTGGCAGCTTTACCTGCTAGTTACAACACCAGCCCCAATTTGATGTTTTGTTTGTTTGTTTGTTTGTTCATTTTTTTTTTTTTTTTTTTTGACAGAGTGGACAGTGAAAGAGAGACAGAGAGAAAGGTCTTCCTTTGCCATTGGGTATTTTTAAAAATATATCCAAAATAGTAAATTTATCCAATGGACATACTGGGGCAAAAAGTGTGTACATTTTAAGTTTTTGATCAATATTGCCAAATTCCCCTCTAAAATGGAATTTGTTATGTTGCTACCAACAATGGGTAATATCACACTGAAAAATGTGATTTTAGGGGCCAGTGTTGTGCACTGTGTTTAAGCTTCTGCTTGCAATGCTTGCATCCCATGTTGGAGCCCTGGCTGCTCAGCTTCCAACCACTTCTGTGGTGATGTTCCTGGTGGGGGTTGGGGGGGCAATGGAAGGTGGTCCAAGTGGATGGAGGTCTGGACTCCTGGCTTTGGCCTGGCCCTGCTGTTGCAGCCATTTGAGGAGTGAATCAGGGGATAAAAGATCTCTCTCTCTCTCTCTCTCTTCTCTTCTATCATTCTACTTGTCAAATAAATAAACAAATAAGTAAATTTTTTTAAGAAAAAAAAGAAAAAAGGGACCAGCGTTTTGGCATAGCAGGTTAAGCCTCTACCTGCAATACCGGCACCCCACATGAGCACTGGTTTGAGACCTGGCTGCTCTGTTTCCTATCCAGCTCCCTGCCGATGTGCTAGGAGGTGGTGGAAGATGGCCCAAGTCCTTGGGCCCCTGCACCCATGAGGGAGATCCGGATACAGTTCCAGGTTCCTGGCCTCAGCCTGGCCCAGCCCTGGCTGTTGCAGCCATTTGAAGAGTAAATCAGCAGATGGAATATCTTTGTTTTTCTCTCTCTTACTCTGCCTTTCAAATAATAAATCCTTTAAAAAGGAAGCATTTTTATTTTTCTTGTATTTTCTTGTCCAGCAGTAGCAAGAACTGCTGAGCAGACTTGACTGGCGAGCCAGGAGGAGGGAGATGGCAGGGAAACTCAGGCCTATGAACATTTTAGGGCTGAGTAACTGGAGATACAATTTTTCCAGGTATCTGGCAATTCTTTTCCTGTTTGAACCAGAATATTAACTTTAACCACTTTGGATGAGAAAGTTCCCCAAATTATGACATAAACGTCTGTCTTGAGTTTAAAATGAGCACAAAAATATGGAAATCTTTTCGATCCCTTAAGCCCATTTATTTTAGCCCTGGGCTATAATTTGGTGATGTCCTCAGGGCATTTTGAATGTGTGGGCACCTTTAATACCCTTAGCTAAATAACCTCAGGCTGATATTTTGAGAAAACCCCTAGGTGTGCTTTTTACAGGCTTGTTGGGTTCTCCTGGCTGTCAGCTCTCACTGTGCAGCTTGTCCGTGCGTTTGCTTACCGAGGCGCCTCTCCACACCCTTCCCTTCCCTAATTGGTTCTCTAGTTTCAAAACCCACCCTATCACTCGACATAAATATGTACCAGCTAGGTCGAAATTGCCATTTAACAGGGCTGTGGTGGGCCTATTTTTTAATTTTTAAAAAATGTGTTCATTTGAGAGCCAGAGAGACAAAGAACCAGAGAAGTTCCCATCTGCTGGGTTACTCCCCCAAATGGCCACAATGGGGGGGAGGGGCAGTTAGTCTGGGAAAGCAATCCAAGTCTCCCAGGAGGGCGGCAGGAGCCCAAGCACTGGAGCCCTCACCACTGTCTTCTGGGGTCTGCATTAGCAGGAAGCTGAGTCAAGAGCAGGGCCAGGTGTCCAATCCAGGTTCTCCCATGCGGGTGCCAGCATTCTAACCACCAGGCCAGATGGTCACCCTGTGTGGTGGCTCTTTGATGAGTCCAGGCTGTGCCAGTAACGCCTAGGCCATGTGGAATCTGTCTTTCCGGTGGAGGGATCCCCTTTTGGCAGGGCCAGGTAGGATGGAGAGCTGGGGTGTGGCCAGCCCCTCCAGCAGGCCTTCTGTGCGTCCCCTGGGAATGCTCCCTGCAGGAGCCTCTGAGCTCGGTGGGGTCATGGGCAGCGGTGGATGCATCTGGGCCGGTCTAGGTGGGATGTGTGAATTCACGCTGAGATCTCTTGGCAGAGACTCAGGCCCCTTGGGCGCGGCGGCCGCCGGCGGAGAGATGGAGATGCAATCCTATCACGCCAAGCTCCTGGGCGAGCTGAACGAGCAGCGCAAGAGGGACTTCTTCTGCGACTGCAGCATCATCGTGGAAGGGCGGATCTTCAAGGCCCACAGGAACATCCTGTTCGCCAACAGCGGCTACTTCCGAGCCCTGCTCATCCACTACATCCAGGACAGCGGGCGGCACAGCACCGCCTCCTTGGACATCGTCACCTCGGACGCCTTCTCCACCATCCTGGACTTCCTCTACTCCGGGAAGCTGGACCTGTGTGGGGAGAACGTGATCGAGGTGATGTCGGCCGCCAGCTACCTGCAGATGAACGACGTGGTGAACTTCTGCAAGGCGTACATCAGGTCCTCCCTGGATATTTGCCGGAAGATGGAAAAGGAGGCTGCGGTGGCGGCAGCGGTGGCCGCGGCGGCAGCGGCAGCAGCTGCAGCGGCCGCCGCCGCCGCTGCTCAGCAAGTGGACAGTGGAAGCCCGGGTTCTGGCAAGGAAGGAATCTCGTGTGGAACCAAGAAGAGCCTGGTGTCCTCTTCGGTCCAGGGAGAGGAGAGCGTGGACTGCTCGAGAGAGCCCCCTTGCGGGGACTGCGGGGACTGCCACCCCTTGGAACTGGTGGTGAAAGACAGCCAGGACCTCTCAGCGCAGGCTACAGGGCTGGGGCCCAAGGTGGAATTCGGAGCCGACGGGGTGGAGGTGGAAGCGGCTGAACAGCTGCAGCAGTACGCTGCCCCGCTGGGCCTGGCCCGCGTGGACGAGGGCCTGCCGGGCAGCCAGGCCGTGGACCTGGCCTACGGGAACTACCACGTGAAGCAGTTCCTGGAGGCCCTCTTGCACAACGGTGCCGTCCAGAGCAAAGACGACGGGGACCATGGCTTTCCCCGGAGTTTGGAGGGAAGACCAGACGGTGCAGGCGTGGCCGTGAGCTCCGTGATGGACGTCCAGACGGACTGGTATGCAGAAGACTCAGGTGAGCTCCCGTAGCATGTGTCCCCCTGCGCGCCACTCACCAGGCACCTCCTGGGCCTCGCGGTCTGCATTCCTGTGGTCGACATCAGCATTGTCAGCGTCACTACCATCGTTGTCACCAGGCTCACCACCACCACCATGGTTATTGGTTGAGCACCAGCTGTATACAGGGCATTGCTTCCTCATGTATGCACCTTTGTGTTCCCTCTGCCACCAGCGTATACACAGTTTGGAGGCATGGGAAGCACCATGTCTTCCAGGAGCCAGCAGCAGGGCCCTGGCCAAGTCGCTGAGCCTCTGGGAACCGCTCTGCCATCTGTAAGATGGGGAGATGGCCTTGCCCTGCCCTTCGCGCAGGGCTGTCGTGTGGACCCAGGACCCTTTCTGACCTGTGGTACTGAGTCCTGTGCACGTGGGAGACCTAGACTCTTCTCAGCAGATGCGATTGCTCTTGTTGCACGGTGTCTTGGGGACAGAAGTCAGCTTGTCTGCCACTGGCGGACAGTGGAACCTCAAGCCAAGAAGTTAGCGAGTCGTATTTCTAGGCCACTCTTCTTACCAAGTAGTGAAAGTCTCTTAAATAAGGAGAGATCCGCTGTTTCATTCATTAATATGAGACACCTTGATTTCATTTTTCAAATTTTTTTATGTATTTATTTTTAACAACTTATTTATTTGAAAGGCAGAGTTACAGGGGTGGGGGGGAGGCATCTTCCATCCTCTCATTCACTCCCCAAATGGCCGCAATGGCTGGAGCTGGGCTGATCCAAAGCCAGGAATCTGGAGCTTCTTCCAGGCCTCCCATGTGGGTACAGGGGCCCAAGGACTTGGTCCATCTTCTACTACTTTCCCAGGTCATAGATCAGAAGTGGAGCAGCTGGGACTCGAACCAACACCCATATGGGATGCCAGCACTGCAGGTGGCAACTTTACCACAGCACCGGTCCCAGGGAAGACATTTCTAACAAATTATCTTGAGCAGAAACCTCAAGGAAGTGAGGGCAAACTGCACAGATGTCAAGGGAAAGAACATTCCAGGCAGAGGGAGGAGCAAAGTGCAGAGATCCAGCTGCATAGTCAGCCCTGGTGCTGAACAAAAGGGACAGCAAGATGGCTGACCCGGCTGGAGTGAGCTGAGTGTGTGTGTGTGTGTGTGGGGGTGTAGTCCCAGGGCTTGGACAAGGCTGGGCCTTTGGAGTGATTTGCGATGACTTGGATGTACAAAGGATCCTCTTAGAGCTGCATGAAGAATAGACTGTAGAGGAGCAAGAGTGGAAGCAGGAGGACCACTGGAGGGGGGAGCCTGCAGTGACCCAGGTGAGAGACGTGCCCCTGATTCAGGGAGGGAGCGGGAGAGGGGAGGTTTGGTTGGGTCATGGCTATGCTATCTTTTTTTTTTTTTTTTTTTTTAAGATTGATTAATTTGAAAGGCAGAAGAGCAGAGAGGAAGAGAGAAAAAAAGAGAGACATCTTTCGTCCACTAGTTCACTCCCCAAATGGCCACAACAGCTAGAACTGGGCCAGGCCAAAGCCAGGAGCCTGGAACTCCATCCTGGTCTCCCACGTGGGTGGCAGGGGCCCAGATACCTGGGTCGTCTTCTGCTGCTTTCCCAGGTGTGTTAGCAGGAAGTAGAACTGGAAGTGGAGCAGCTGTGATGTGAACTGGCGCTCTGATATGTGACACTGGCATCGTGAGCAGCGTTTTAGCCTGCTATGCCACAACACCTGCCCCTACACTGCAGCTAGAAGCAGAGCTGACCAGACTTGCCAGTGGCTTGGATGAGCAGCATGGGAAAAAGAGGAACTAAGGATGACCTTAACGTGTCTAGCTCGAGCAGCTGATTCCAACGCATGTTTGGGATGCCTGTTGGATACCCGAGTGGAGATGTTTGGTACACAGTTCTGTATGTGAGTTTAGAGTTCTGGGGAGAAGTCGGAACTGAGATATGAACTTGGGAATCAAGGGTGGATCCATGGAACCTAAAACCTGTATCTCCCATTGTCTTAGAGACCTGGAAGGAGAAGATGAGGGGCCTGTGAACTGAATCCTAGGAAGCAGAAACATTTAGAGGTCAGGACAGAGGGCACTGAGGAAGCAGGGCCAATAAGGTCGGAAGAGAATCGAGAGTGATGGGGGCAGCCGGCTGGCCCGACAGTTCGGATGCCTGTGTTCCACCTTGGAGTACGTGAGTTCGATACCCGGCTCCAGCTTCAGACTCTGCCTTCCCGCCAGTGCAGACCCAGGGAGGCAGCAGTGACGACTCTGCGGGAACCGCTGTGCTGAGGCAGTCAGATCGCGAAAGAGGAAGGGAGGGTCCAGGTTGGTCACGCTTTTCTGGTGGAGAAGTAGCTACAGTTGTTTTTCCCCAAGGGTGTGGGCCAGGTCCATTCATTTCTGTAGATAACTGGGAAGAAGTGTATAGGATAGTGCCCACTTGATGGGGATGATTGACAGGACTGCACCGTGCCAGAGGAGTGAGCCCTGTGTTGTTGCTTTTATCCTAGAAAGAGATTTTGGGGGAGCTGGCGCTGTGGTGCAGCGGGTTAACACCCTGGCCTGAAGCGCCGGCATCCCATATGGGCGCCAGTTCTAGTCCCGGCTGTTCCACTTCCGATCCAGCTCTCTGCTGTGGCCTGGGGAAGCAGTAGAAGATGGCCCAAGTCCTTGGGTCCCTGCACCCACGTGGAAGACCCAGAAGAAGCTCCTGGCTTCAGATCGGCACAGCTCCAGCCGTTGCGGCCAATTAGGGAGTGAACCATTGGATGGAAGACTGACTCTCTCTCTCTCTCTCTCTCTCTCTCTCTCTCTCTCTTTCTCTGCCTCTCTCTCTCTGCCTCTCTTCTCTGTGTAACTCTGACTCTCAAGTAAAAAATAAATAAATCTTTTTTAAAAAAAAAAAAAGAGATTTTGGAATTGCTCCAGATACAAAATGTTAGGCATGATCAGGGTGGGACTAGAAATTGAAGAGAAAATGCTGCACCCTACCGTCAAGGACAGGTGGGCTCTCGCCTGGAATCCGGCTCGCCCTGCTTTCTGCAGCATCTTGGGAAAGACAGAGCCCCGTTAGGGCCCCTGAGGTGGTCCTGGGGAAGAGAGTTCCTCCAGTGTTGGCACAGAGCCTGGACTGCTTCACTGATGGGGAAATGCCAGGAGGGCCAGGGATTTGGCACAGCAGTTGAGACCCTGCTGGGACATACACACCCTGTATCGAAAGGCTTGAGTTTGAATCCTGGCTGCACTTCCAGTTGAAGACTTCCTGTTGGGGCTCAGCAGGTTAAGCCATCACCTGCAGCACTGGCATCCCATATGGGCACCATCCAGCTTCCTGCTAACGCGCCTGGGAAAGCAGCAGAGGATGGCCCAAGTGCTTGGCCCCTGCACCCATGTGGGAGACCTGGATGAATTTGGGGAGTGAAGCAGTGGCTGGAAGATCTCAGTCCCTTTCTCTTTCTATAACTCTGCCTTGCAAATAAATAAATAAATAATTCTTTAAAAAAACGCTGAGGACATGATGATGATGGTAGAAATTGCTAGCAATGGGGCTGGCGCTGTGGGCCAAGCCACCTCCTGCGGCAGTGGCATCCCATAAGGGTGCTGGTTTGTGTCCTGGCTGCTCCTCTTTTGATCCGGCTTTCTGCTATGGTCTAAAAAAGCAGTAGAAGGTGACCCAAATGCCTGGAGGAGGCTTCTGGCTTTGGATCAGCTCCGCTCCAGCTGTTGCAGCCATTTTGGGAAGTGAACCAGCAGATGGGAGATCTTTTTCTCCATCTCTCTCTTCTCTGTCTGTAACTCTACCACCTCTCAAATAAAAAAAAGAAAAAAAATTTCTAGCACTTAGGAGTGCTTGCTGTGTGCCAGGTGCTGTGTTTTATGAGTTATTTCCTATCAGTCTTCCCCTGTTCCCATGAGGTGGGAACTGTTAACATACCTATTTTACAGATGAAGAAAGGGCACAGAGAAGTTGAGTAAGATGTCCAAGGACACACAACTGGTAAGTGGTAGAGGCAGGACTTGAACCCAGGTTTTTGTGCCTGGAAAGCTTGTGTTCCTTCATATGGGCTATAACATGACTAAAGTCTGTAAATCCTGAAAGATGTGGGTGGAGGACCTAGTCTTGGAATTTGTAATAAACGTGACTGAGAAAACATGAGAGGAGCAGTTTTTACACTTGTGGGTGATAGTCACGTTGTTACCTTCATGGTTGTAAGGTGGGAAAAAAAGTTGATAAAGAGTCTAGTGAAGGGGGCTGGTGCCGTGGCTCACTTGGTTAATCCTCCGCCTGTAGCGCCGGCATCCCATATGGGTGCTGGGTTCTAGTCCCGGTTGCTCCTCTTCCAGTCCAGCTCTCTGCTGTGGCCCGGGAAGGCAGTGGAGGATGGCCCAAGTGCTTGGGCCCTGCACCTGCATGGGAGACAAGGAGGAAGCACCTGGCTCCTGGCTTCAGGTCGGCGCAGCACCGGCCATAGGGGCCATTTGGGGAGTGAACCAACGCAAGGAAGACCTTTCTCTGTCTCTCTCACTGTCTATAACTCTACCTGTCAAAAAAATTAAAAAAAAAAAAAGTCTAGTGAATTCCCGGATATTTGATGATTTCAGATAGAGTTAATATGAATTCCAGACAATTTAGGGTCTACAACCCAGCAAAGCTTTTGCTCAGAAGAGAGTCTTAGTAATTACGCTCTGAGAAAGCATGAGTGAGTTCTGGTCCAGGGGACTGACCCATCGTCACAGGATTTTTCAAACTTCTGGAGGTGATGAGATCAATGCAGGGAGTCTGTAGTAGTCATCCCAGGGGCCCACAAGCTGCGGGGCTTAAGCAGCTGACACTGGGGCTGGCTCTGTGGGATGCCAGCTTCCCAGGTGGCAGCGTTACCACTACGCCTCAATGCCAGCCCCATGATATGCATTCCAGGAGGCAGAAGCTGACAGCTCAAGTGCCTGGGTCCCTGCCACCCACAGGAGACCTGGATGGAGTTCCAAGCTCCTGGCTTTGGCCTGGCCCAGCTCTGGCTATTGCAGGCATTTGGGAGGGTGAACCAGTGGTTTGTTCTCTCTGTCTCTCTGCCACTCAGCCTTTCAAATAAGTTAATAAACACTATAAATTTAAAAAAAAATGGACACCATCATCATGGATGTTGTTTTAGGAAGCTTTTCCTGTTATCCACATCAAGGTACTTTGCGTTCTGAGTTTTTTTTTTTTTTTTTTTAAGATTTTTTTATTTATTTGAAAGACAGAGTTACAGAGAGAGGTAGAGACAGAGAGAGAGGTCTTCCATCCAATGGTTCACTCCCCAGATGGCCACAACGGCTGGAGCTGCACCCATCCGAAGCCAGGAGCCAGGAGATTCTTCTGGGTCTCTCATATGGGTGCAGGGGCCCAAGGACTTGGGCCATCTTCTACTGTTTTCTCAGGCCACAGCAGAGAGCTGGATCAGAAGAGGAGCAGCCGGGACTAGAACCGGTGCCCATACGGGATGCCGACGCTTCAGGCCAGGGTGTTAACCCACTGCACCACAGCACCGGCCCCGCGTTCTGAGGTTTTATTATAAGATGTGTTTCTAACTGTGTCACAGAGAAGCATAAAGGCTGGTATCTTACCACATTGCTTGTGACCTTATATCAGAGCCCACTTTGCCCGCTGGCTGGGCGGGAGCCAGACAGAGCTGGACTCACACACATTGCCTTGCTGTTGGCTGGCAGTGGAGTTGCTATCTTCCCTCTCTGTGCCCACGGAATTCCCCGGCTCCAGCTCCCACGCATCAGAGGCCAGCCTGGGTCGGCACTGCTTCAGTATCGCTAAACCAATCCGTTGGGTTCCCCAGGTGATGTGCTGGTGGTCCCCATCAAGCTGCACAGGTGTCCCTTCTGCCCTTACACTGCCAAGCAGAAGGGCATCCTCAAGCGGCACATCCGCTCGCACACGGGAGAGCGGCCCTACCCCTGCGAGACCTGCGGCAAGAGGTTCACCCGGCAGGAGCACCTGCGCAGCCATGCCCTGAGCGTAAGTGTCCACCGGCCACGGCCAAGGGTGGGGCGCTGTATTCTCTAATGAAGGGCAAAGCCAGCTTGGCTTTCTCTTCTTCATCCACTGGGGTATTTTCAGATGCTTTTGAACAAAGGTTTCTGCTACTAAATGAAAGCTGGGCTGGCGTTGCTTAGAGAAAGTGAAATTTTGCACTAGTTTTTCTATGGGGCAAAATCAAGAAAGTTTAGCTTCTGGCCAGGGATGGTTGTCATAAGGATGAAAACAGCAGGACCTGGATAGGGGGCGGTGGGTGTCTTCCCACCAATGTGACGCCCAAAGCAAGCCACGTTCTCTGTGTCCCACCCAGCAGCAGCACCAGGGGTGGAGGAGAGGTAAGCGCAGTCACATGGAGAGTGGAGAGCAGACAGAGAGAGCTCCAGCCCTAGGGGCTCTTCCCTCCACCCAGCCGGCTCCCAGGAGTCTCACATGGGGAGCTAGTGAGTCCCAACAGCTAGAAAGCAGAGAAAGACCTTGCATTCATGATCGTCTTTGAGCATGGCAATCAGTCTTTGGAAAATCCAAAATAAAGATAGTTTGAACTTCAGAGGATGCTCCCCAGAATGTGAAACCCACCGAATAGGAGAAAATATTTGAGAGGCATGTATCTGATAAGGGTCTAGAATATGTAAGACTTGGGCTGGCGCTGTGGTCTAGCAGGTTAAGTCACCACCTGTGATGCCAGTGGCCATATGGGTGCCGGTTCACATCTTGGCTGCTCCACTTCTGATTCAGCTCACTGCTAGTGTGCCTGGGAAAGCAGTGGAAGATGCTCCAAGTCCTTGGGCCCCTGCACCCAGTGAAGTTCCCAACCCCTTGCTTAGGCCTGGCCTTTCAAATAAATAAATAAATATTTGGAAAACCAAACCAAACAGAGGCTCCGAATGACCCACAGAGCCCCTACTGGCTGGAGCTCCTGCAGAGTGCGCAGGTCAGGAGTTAGCTCTCCGCCCAGCAGGAGTCCTGAGGTCGCTGCCCTTAGGAGAAGCTGTCTGGGAGAGGAGACCAGCTTTCCAGTGCAGAGCTTTTCATATAAGTAAGCCAAGCCCTTAGCAGTGAAAAAGTCAGGGGTGAAGACTTTGCTGGCACCTCTGGGGGGCACACGTCCACTCCAGCAAATCTGCCTTCCTCATACTCAACCAATCCAAGGGACGTGAAAAACCACGTCTGAAATCCAGCTCGGTTTGCTGAGCCCCCCTTAACATGCCAAGCACTGAGACACAGTCATGAGTGAGACACCCTCCGTCCCTGCCCTCTAGGAGCTGGAGTCTAGTGATTTGTGAGAAGTACACCCACAAAAAGTATAGGTGAGAATACACATGGGAAAATGCCTGTTGCGAAAAAGCTGTTATTGAATTTCAAAAGTTTTGCACCCAAATCTATATTTTAGTTTCATTTTCCAAACTTTTGGAAGGATACTGGTATTGGTTCAGAGCACCAAGGAAGACTTCTTTGGAAGGCATTAGTAAGGGCTGAGGGGTCGGTGATGGAGAGGAGGGAACATTCCATTTGCGGCCCTGGGACAGAAAGGATCTTGGTGAGATTGAGGCTGTGACAGAGAAGGCAAGGGGAGAGTGGCGAGAGATGAGGCTGACAGGGGGTAGGGGACCGGGGAGGGTGGGCGCCGGTCACCTGGGACCTCGTAGAGCCCGGCTCACAGCCTTTGTGACGTTGACCGTGCCAGCTGTGATTACAGGTGCACAGATCCAGCCGTCCGATCATCTGCAAGGGCTGCCGCAGGACCTTCATGAGCCACCTGTCCCCGGGGCTGCGGCGCTTCGGGCTCTGTGACAGCTGCACCTGTGTCGCAGACGTGCGTGATGAGGACGATGATTTGATGCCGGTTAACCTCAGCCTCGTGGAAGCTTCCTCCGGGAGCCTGGAAAAGAGCGACACGGACAATGACTGGCCCATCTATGTGGAGTCGGGTGAGGAGAATGAGCCCGTGGGAGATGATTCGGATGAGAAGCCACGAGTGCGACCCGGCTTCCCAGACCGAGAGACACTTACGTAGCGACAGATCGGCGGGGGGAATGTCTTAGTGTTTGTTGTGGCCTGTCCTGTGGTTGAAAGCCACCATTTGTCCAACTTGGTGGCATCGAGAGAAACACGTTTTCCCTGTTGTGTTGTTTGCATTGTTGATAGACTCCGTGGCAGAGGCTGGACTTTGTGACGCATCACTTTCTTGTACAGGGCCCTCGGCTTCTGAGGGCTGGCTTGGCCCCTCCTGAGTTCGGAGTGAATCATCAAGGCTGGTCCCCAGGCCACGGGTTTCCTCCTGGCTACCCAAACTCTGCATGGGAAGATAAGAAACCCTCTCACTCGCGTTTGCGCGGTCTCAGTCCCTTACATTCCTTTCTCAGAAAAGATGGGCAAGGGTGCAGCACGTTTCGGGTCGGCCTTACCTCTGCCAGGCCCTCCATTGCGTTCCGCAGTTTAATTCTCTGGCAGGGGAGTAAAGGGAAAGCGTGACCCCCAGGAAGCAGGCAGGGCTGTCTGGCTCCCCCATCCTGAGAGGCGCTCTCTAAATCTAAAACCGCAGTTCTAAAGGTGCAGACAAGCATGGCGTGGACCAAAAGGCTCATTAGAGCACCCTGGCTTGGCCAGTTTTAAGTTAGCCCTGGGAAGAGGAGCCTGAGAGCAGGACGAGGCGGTTTCCCTGTCTAGTCTGCTCTCTGACAATTCTGCACGCACGCAGATAATCCGTCCTGTGAGCCTGCAACAGGACATTTGGGGAAAACTCTAAGTGTCCCCCTGTTGTTTCCAGCCACTTCAAAAGCCATTGCCCTATATCCCGGAAGCATGGCTGGCCCTGACATTGTTTTACTAAGTGCATGCCTAAAACTTTAATTGGAGGAAAAGTGTTAGACCGTATATTTGTGGATTATTCACCTCTTAAAAGATTCCCTTGAGGGAAAGAGAAGGTTACTAAAACAGGTTTCTTAAGACGTCAGTTTTCACCCACTTTGCAGCTGTATGCAAGAGAGGCTGAATTCTTTGAGGGACCAAAGGGCAGGAAATATTAGGGATTAAGGATGTAACGGAAGGCACTTTCGTCATGTTGTGCAAGTCTTGTATTAAAGTGCCCAAGTAGATTTTAAAAGAAAACTCCTGTTTCCCCTTTCACTTTAGAAGAGCTGTGTTGCAAGAGGTGGTTAAATCATTTTTCTTTCTCAGACAATACATACATAAATACATGCCATTATAAATTGTCTTGTAAATGTTAGTTGTTGAAGAGTTAGAAAAGGTTGATATCTCACTTCTCAACAGTAATCAGAATTCTAGAAGAGGGGATTATTTTCTAAGGATCTAGGACAAGGGAAACTCAGAAATCAAGGACTAAGCGTGCAGACACTCTTGTAACACTGTGGCGTCTACACGTGTGATCGCGGCCTTGTCTGCCGTAACAGGGCGTGCACTGCTCCGGGTGAGGTCATCTGGGGAGTCACATAGAAAAAGGCAGGCTACCGGTACACTCAGTAGGACCATATTCTGCAAGACTGGCAGTTTAAAAGCTCATCTTTTCCTACAGGTAGTTGGTAAAATATTGTTCTGGATCAATTGTTACACTTTAATCAGGGACCGCAAATGCTTTTCTTACCTGAAATGAAAATATTAACAGTTGTTTTAACAGAGGGATCTTAGCAAAAGGCAAACATCCCTGGATGTGTAAAAGATTTACTTTGCGAGGAGTTTTGTTCCATAGTTGTTCTTGCTTTGTTTAAATTATTTCTGATGTTTGAATGTGACTCTTCTACCTCGTGGTTAACTTCTCGGCTGACTTTCTCCAGTTGACCTAGGAGCCTCTTCAGTAACGCTGCGATCCATTCAAATCACCAGGTGAAAAATTTTACATTAGCAATGCTGTGTAAGATGGCAGCTCTCGCTGCAGGTTGATGTTGCCTGGGCCAGAAGACCTCTGGCAATGTCTGGAGAGGTCCTCAGTTGCTACTGCGCAGGACAGCGTGCTGCTGATACCTGGTTCATGGAGGCCAAGGTCAGTGCGTAACATCCTACAGGGCCCGGGCCGCTCCCCCAGCACAGAATTTCCTAGTTCAAAATGTCGAAAGTATGGAGGTTGAGAAACTCTGCTGTAAGAGAAAATAGGACTTTTTAAATAGAGTGAACTTCACTTTGCGTTCTGTTGCTGAGGACAGATGGTTCACAGCTTGCCCAAGGTCTGATCTCGGTTTGTGCTGTGAAAACTTGGGAACTCTGACTATGATTCAGACACTGGTATTAGGCTCCGATCATTTTGTTAAATTTTTAAGTCACAGAATCACTGGGAAGAAAACAGAACATGAAGTTTAATATTTAAATGAGTCTCTTTCTTCCATAATGTCTCAGATGGTTGCCCTCCTGGTTGACTGATTAGTTTGTGTAACTTACGCAATATCAGCCGTCATTGGTGATCACCGGACCGCTGGATTCTGCTACTTTCAAAGGAGCTCACTTCCCGTGTCTGAATGACCGGATCATAAACTAGTCACCCGCCAAAGTTACATTCACATTTTTGGTGGTCGGTATTTACAGTCACGAAGTCTTCCAGGTTTCATGCATAGAATCAGGGATATTTTTATAAGTGAATTCACAGTTGGGCCCAACACAGATTATAAGTGATTTAGTTTCTATTCTCGCATCTTTCTGGTGCAGTCGGTCCAAGTTCACAAAGGGATATTTTTGTCTCACAGTAGACAGGATTCTTTCCCGTAATGGCATTCACAGGTGGCATTCTTGGGCAGTCGTTTCTTTGGGGGGATGGCAGCCCCTTTCCACAGGGTCAGGAAAGCGTGTAAATAAGACCCAGGACTGTAATAATCAAGAAGTGACGCAGGGCATCAGAATTCCTGATCAGCTAGCAGAAAGATGCCACTCTGATGTAAATATTTTGGTGGCTACTGACTTTGCTGTCGGCACAGTGTTGTGAAGTTGAGTGTTCTGGCGGTTCAGAATACTGGCTTTTTGTTGCCCTTAATGGATGTTGTCATGAACCCCACAGGGAGGAAGACAACAGGTAGGGCTGCCTGCGTCAGTTCTAAAAGCAGCAGGGAGACGCGAGTGGCCTTTTGTCAACTGAATTCACACGTTCACTTGGACCTATATGACTTTCCTGTGTGTTCCTTGTGCATTGAGAATAGAATCACTTCCGTGAAATCTAGCTTGATGGGGTGGGGTGGGGGGACACAGGGTTGGGCTGGGTGTGAAGTTCCTATTACACTGTTTTGAGCATTACCATTGCACTTCCTGTTGTTGGTGTCTTGTAGCTTGCTTAGTGCTTTTATGGGCTCACACTCTTCTAACCTCAAAAGGAGGCACGCTGTTCGTTTGGATGGACCGTGTTTCCACTGATTTTTGGTTGCTGTATGTGCCAGGACAATGTTCCTCAAACCCTTCGTTGTAACACCGGACATTTGAATTCTTTTCTTCAGACGATGCTTCTCAAAGGCAGGTGAAAAGATCTTTGAGGCAGGAATAGTTTGGCTGGTTTCTGACTTGCCTTACTTTTAAAAGGGGACTTTGTGTGACCAGATGATATGGAAGCTTCCCCACTGAAGGAGCGTATTTAGCAAGTGTTGAGCTTCCACGTGGATGATTTTGCTACAGCCAATATTTCATTCACAAGAATGGTCTTATGGTTTGGGGGAGCAATTTTTTAATCTATCATTTGGTTTTTGGACCTTTGTCAATAGTTAATTAGAAATCAGGAGGGGTCACAGTAGGGACCATGTGCTTGGAGGAAGAAAGCTTGGGGATTTTGAAGGGAGGCATCAGTTTGAGATACCTGTCTTGATGACTTGTAATGAGTATGGATTACCCAGCAGGAAGACAGTGCAGGATATGATCAAGATGTTTTCTGGGAGCAGAAAAGCACGCCAGACAGTTTCACAGAAGTCCTGTGCAGCAGCCTCTGCCACTACCCAAGACACAGGCCGATAGTGCTGCAGTCCCCTGCGGGTCTCCTCAGGCTCACTGAGTGCTGGCAAGCATTCAGGCTCATAGGTGGCCACACCTGGCGTCACAGACATTGGAGAGGACACGGGATGGGAGGCACAACTGGCCAGCAGGGCAGACACAGAAGCAGATCTTCTGCGAGAGTCCCTGCAGCTGTCCGTGTGGCACAGCTGAGGGGCAAAGATCCACATCAGGCCGATATGGAAGCTGCCCTTGCCTAAAAGCCGCTTGCCCCACAACAAGCAAGCGTCTCCTGTAACAACTGCATAGACATAGCTTCCAGGATCACCCAGAAGGACAGGCCTCTTCCAAGGGTCACTGTACTCAGGGAAGCCCAAAGCTGTGGCTTCCTATCAGGTATTTATTGTTTTGCCAGTGCACATGCAATTTATCGATTAGGGGTCATTTCTACCACATGGAATGTTGCCTGGCAACATAGCTGACACATGACTCTTCATTAGGTTGTCAGGGGAACAGAGCACAAAAGTTTACCAAAAGTCAAATTCTCACACAGAAGGGGAATAGATTTTATTAATCCTTTACCAAACAGTATGCTAAGCGAGTACACAATAGATATTCCACCTAATTGCCATAAATGTACCTGGAAGAATTTCCTACAAAAATGTTGCCAACACCGCCTCGTTTTCCTGTCTTGAATAGTATTCATTCTTTGTGCTCAGCTGCTTGTGTTTTAGTGCACCATTGGCCCATTTTGCCGAGTTATGTGTAAGAATTGGATAATCAGCCAAAATGGTGCCATCAGAATGTCATGTATCCTTTGGTGCTGTGGCGAGTCTGGAACATCATACTCCAGGGACATTATCAAATGAGAATTTCTGAGGATTCCATCGGTCATCCTTTGATGGGAACCTGTGTCCACCCGGCAGCCAGCAAACACTGGTCTCTTGGTCACAGTGCCTTTTACTGCTATGACGTGTGGTGCCACCCCTGCCTGCTTCTGTTGCTTCTGGAAGATCACTAAGTATGGCTGGAGGGTTATTTATTCTACAGCTATCCAACCACTGTTTGTGGTGCTCTAATTATGAGGTGCCAGGCACTAGGGGTAGGTCAGTGAACCAGCAAAATCCCTGCCCTCAAGGGACTTGCAGTGTGCGGTCGGAGACTGGTGGTTAAACAGTGACAACACAATGTGCTAAGGGTGACAGGAGGGCAAGAACACAGGGCGCGGGGCTGGGAGCACCTGGCTGCAGCACCTCAGAGAAGGCTTTCTTGGCTAAGCTGGTATTTCTGTGGTCCTAACCGTCCAGCAAACTTCTAGCTCTTGGACACTATTTATAAGCAATTTGTTTAGTTTTTGAAACTTCCTGCCTTTTCCAGACATGGTGGGTGTAGACACTAACATTGTTAATTATTTTATTCAAGTATGTCAAAATATTGTGACTGTTTTAGCATATCTTAGTCTTTAGAAAAAATATATATGGTTTTATAATTTTAAATTTATATGTAACAGATACAATTATTATTTGTCAATTAAAAATAAAATTAAAGCAGTGGCAATAACAACTTCCCATTATGTTGATCCAGTGCAATAAGATAGACAAGGTTTCGCTACTGTGAGAGATGGGCAGGAGCCCATTGTCCCTGGATTGGCTCTTGCCTGGCCATGTGGATGAGTTCATAACCTAGAAATCAGGATAGATGGGAGGGAGACAGGGCCGTTCAGTCAGAGCACTTGGGAGCTAAAGGGGCCCAACCCATTTTATAGGCAGATGAAGTGACTCGTCCCACGTTCCCCCAGTCTGGTTAGTTTCAGAGAGCAGGTCCTGGCAGGCCAGTGCTGATAACCAACAAGCATGTTTGGGCAGGCAGCAGAGACCCTCCATAGATAGCCATGGTTTCCTTGGTTACCCATCAGCCCAAAATGCTGTCTGGGCCCCTGGTGATCGGTATGCTCTGTGTGGTCCTGGCCTGCATGTCTGTAACGCTTGGATGGGGAGTGGAGACGAAGAGTGTTGAACACAGGATGGGGTGGGGTCATTTAGTTTCTTGGTCCTGTAATACTCACACATATCTGAAGCAATATAAACCCCCATCAGCACACACTCAACTTACTCCCAGATAAGGCAAATCAAAATTTTCTTCGTCTACTTATTTGATATGTATCATGTATTTGGTTTTCTAATGTGTTCATTTTATTTGTAAAAACTTTCAAAAATATGAAATATATATTACCTTGAAATTATTTTTCCAACCTCTCTACTGATTTTTAAATTGTAAATTGAGCATGATTCAGGGAATTTGATAAGGACAATTTTATTTGAAACTGCAGACCATGTATTTTTAAGTCTGCCAGCCCATATAGGGGGTAGTGCTGTGGCTTAGCAGTAAAGCGGCTGCCTGCAGTGCTGGCATCCCATATGGGTGCTGGTTCAAGTCCCAGCTGCTCTTTCCTAGCCAGCTCTCTGCTGTGGCCTGGGAAAGCAGTGGAAGATGCTCCAAGTCCTTGGGCCCAAGCACCTGTGCGGGAGGCCCAGAAGCTCTGGCTCCTGGCTTCAGATCAGCCTAGTGGCCATCTGGGGAGTGAACCAGTGGATGGAAGACACCCCCCGTCCTGTCTCTCTCTGCCTCTGCCTCTCTATAACTCTGCCTTTCAAATAAATAAATCTTTTTAAAAAAATGTATTTTAGGTATTTCTTGAGTCAGTGGATTTTAATAAATTGATTGCAGAAGCAAGTCTTATTTAAAAGTCTGAAATAATATACAACTTATTAGTAAAACAGATTAGCCACTTAATCTAAAAATACCTAAAAGCAGTGTTCCTGATTGTCAATGAAATACTTATCACATTTTGGATTAAAACTAATTTAAGGTTATCAAAGATGCAGATGTTCTTTAATTTGGTGAAATTGTCCTGGGGTAAACAGGAAGTATTCTCAAGTTAAATTTTGTATAGATGTATATAAAGTCAGAAAGAGATACCTTAGTGACAAGTATAGAATAGGAACAGCCACTGCCAAGTTCAAGGAAAAATCGTTTGTTTCTTTATTGCTCATTCAGAAACAAATGCCCTTTCAGAACGTGAATCTGACCTGAATTAAATAGCTGCACATTTTAGAATGGCTGAGGTCGAAAAGGTTAAAAGTTTATTTAGAATGGAAGAAATAGGGGATCGAGGATAGCTCTTCTCACATGAATGAATTAATCTTCATGATTTAAGTTTAGTTAACTTTTTCTCAGGGAAATTATTTTTCACAAAATCCTATTTTGAGGAATTTTATGGACAAGATTTTAAAGGGGGAAAAAATCTCACAAAATAAAGAGAATTATTAAATAGAGATCTAAAGAGAAGAAGCCTCCATCAAGTATCTTTTCCCGCCTTTGTCCTGTGGTGTTCAGAACAACGATTTCATTATATGAGACAGTTTCTAGGCAGAGAACCCCAAGTCCTAGCATTTGAGATTCTGTGGAGGAAGACTGACCACTGCTTGATGAACAGGCAATGCGGGATCAATGTAAGATGTAAGGCAGGGCCAGGCACCCGGCACAGCAGTGAAGGTGCCATTGGGATGGCGCATCCCATACCGAAAGGCCTGTGTTGAGTCCCAGCTTCCTGCTAATGTGTACCCCGGGAGGCAGCAGGTGTTGATGGCTCAAATACTTGGCTCCCTGCCACCCACATGGGAGACCCGGTATTAGTCCCAAGCTCCTGTCTTCAGCCTAGCCCAGCTCTGGCTGCTGTGGGCATTTGGAGAGTGAACTAACATCAGATAGATGATCTCTGTCTGTCTGTTTCTCCACTTTTCAAATAAAATATAAAAATAAATTGTAATACAAAATATAAAAGGCAGACAACCCCAAAACCACAGGAGCCACAGCCAGTCTAAGCTCTATGTTCATAGTTACACACTTTGCAACAACACTTAGAAGAAAAATAGAAACTGATTATCTTTGGCTGCCAAGTTTCTAAATGGATTGATTCATCTGACAAAGGCCCTTGTCAAAATGGCTATTTTAAAAAGAAGACAGGGACCCGCATTGTGGCGTAGTGGGTTAAGCTACCACCTGCGATGCTGGCATCCCATATCAGTGCTGGTTCAAATCCTAGCTGCTCCACTTCCAATCCAGCTCCCTTCTAATGCACCTGAGAAAGCAGCAGAGGATGGCCCAAGTGCTTGAGCCCCAGCACCCATGTGAGAGACCCCAAAGAAGCTCCTGGCTCCTGGCTTTTGCCTAGCCCAGCCCTGGCCATTGTGGTTATTTGGGGAGTAAACCAGAAGATGGAATCTCTCTCTCTCATTCTCTCTCTGTAACTCTGACTTTCAAATAAATCTTTTTTTAAAAAAAAGAGAATCCAAAATTGGAAATAATTTTGACTGTTAGAACAATAGCAACCAATACTGGTTTTTGTTTTTGTTTTTGTTTTTTGTTTTGTTTGTTTTGTTTTGTTTTGTTTTTTGTTTTGTTTTGTTTTGTTTTTTTTTTTGGACAGGTAGAGTTAGACAGTGAGAGAGAGAGAGAGAGAAAGGTCTTCCTTTTTCCGTTGGTTCACCCCCCAAATGGCCACTACGGCCACTGCGCTGCGCTGATCTGAAGCCAGGAGCCAGATGCCAGCTGGACTGGAAGAGGAGCAACCGGGACAGAATCCGGCACCCCAACCGGGACTAGAACCCGGGGTGCTGGCGCCACAGGTGGAGGATTAGCCTAGTGAGCAGCGGCACCAGCCCTGTTTTTAAAACAGTTACTAGTAAAACAGATTAGCAGAAAACTTTCTGCTTTTTGGAACTCAGTTGATCTTTATGTTCAAGTGGTTATGGGCTAGGTCTCTGTATACGGTTCAATGTCATCTAGGTTGTGTGTTGTTTTGCTGTTTTCACTTTTTATATATAGACGGCTAAAACCAAGAAACAATAAAGGAATGAGTGTACATAATCTGTGTGATCTAAATATGATTTCTGTTTGGCAATTTATTTTTAATATAAACCTTTAAAATATATGTGCCTGGGACCAGTGCCATGGTGCACTAGGTTGATCCCATATGAGATGCTGGTTCTAGTCCTGGTTGCTCCTTTTCCAGTCCAGCTCTCTGCTGTGGCCTGGGAGGGCAGTGGAGGATGGCCCAAGTGCTTGGGCCCTGCGTCTGCATGCGAGACCAGGAGGAGGCACCTGGCTCCTGGCTTCAGATCGGCACAGCTCAGGCCGTTGTGGCCACTTGGAGAGTGAACCAACTGAAGGAAGACCTTTCTCTCTCCCTTTCCCTCTCCCTCTGTCTGTAACTCTGCCTGTCAAATAAATAAAAATCTTTTTATAAAAGTATGTGCCTATTTTCTGCTTTCAGAATTATTTCTGCTTCGAGAGCAGACATTTAGTCTAGTGGTTAAGACATCTACATCGCACATTGGAGTGCCTGGTGTCAATTCCTGGCTCTGGCTCCTGAGCCCAGCTTCCTGCTAATGCAGACTATGGAAGGCAGCAGTGATGGCTCAAGTAATTGGGTTCTTGCCACCCATATGGGACACCAGAATTGCATTCTCAGTTCCCAGCTTCAGCCCAGGCCTAGCCCTGGCTGCAATAGTGACCCAGAGTTCTTTGGCTCACTTGCAAATAGAAATGGACAAGGGGTCAGCGTTCAACCCAGACAGCATTTATTGGGTGCTTATGCCCCAGCACAAGGGAGACAGCTCATGGAGAGGGGTTCCACTGACCAACTCTCCAGCTGGGGTCGACCAGGGGATTTATCAGGTTGGGGAGGCATAGTTGTGCCCCCTTGGTCTCTGGCTTGTCTCCCTCTGCACACAGCACTTGGCAGCACCAGCAGGGGCAGTGGCAGGGGAGGTTAAATCTGGCTGGAGGTTAAGTCCTGGCTGGTAAGCACTGGCAGCAGCCAGGGTTCTTTTCCAGGTGCCTAGAATTAAGAGGTGAAGACGCTCAGGAAGGCGTCCAGAGCACCTGCTGTGGTCAGGATGATTTACTTTCAAGGTACAGACACACAGAGCTCAGAGTGTGGTCCCAAGACCAGCAGCATCCGGGGAATTCTGATGCCAAATAATTTGAGAACAGTTTTAAGAGGATTCGCTTCAAGAGAAAATCAGTAGATCGCCCGGAATTAGGAAGGACTGAGGCTTCTCTGCTCAGTCAGCCACTCTCGGGCACCAGCTTTCCTCTGCCCATAAGCCCCAGTGTCCGTGGCCCTGACCTGGCCACTTCAGTTAATATCTCCAGAGGAAAACATCTGCGTATCTGCCTAGCAAAGGAGGTGTTCCCTCAGGTCACGTGGCCCATCTGGGCCAGGCAGCTGGGGCCTCTGTGGGGAGGGGGATTAGTTGGAGGTTGGGGCTGGACAGTGTGTGTGGGAACTCTGGAGAGAGCACAAAGAGTGACCTACACGCCTCCTATATTGAGCAAACAATGGCATGCAGAAATGTAGGGTGAGTACGTGTAATATACCTCCAGGAGCCACAACGTTTAGTAGGGGAAACCGCAGATGGCCATTTTCCAACATTTTCCATTAAAGAAGGAGCAAAAATCTATTATGTTGTGTTTCCCCAAAGGAATTTGAAAAAAAGATGTCCAAACAAAAATTGTACATGAGTGGTCATAGTAGCTCTATTCACAATAGCGAAAGGCAGAAACACCCAAGGGTCCCTCAACCGATGAGCGGACATGTCATCTACGTTTGTACATACAATGGACTAGTGTTCAGCCATTGACGGGAATGAAGGGGGCAGGCACGTGGTCCAGTGTTGGAGCCATATTGGAGTTTGAGTCCTGGCTGTACTGTGCATTCCAGCTTCCTGTCACTGTGCACCCCATGGGGCAGCGGGTCCCTGTCACCCATGCAGGATACCTTGATGCAGTTCCTGGCTCTGGCCAGGCCCAGTCCCGGATGTTGCAGGTATTTGGGGGGAATGAACCAGCAGCGGATGGGAACTCTCTTGAGCACAAACTTACTCTTTAAAAAAAAAAAAAAGATTTATTCATTTATTTATTTGAAAGACAGAGTTACAGAGAGGCAGAGGCAGAGAGAGAGATCTTCCATCTGCTGGTTCACGCCCCCAGAGGGCCACAATGGCCGGAGCTGTGCCGATTTGAAGCCAGGAACCAGGAGCTTCCTCCGGGTCTCCCACATGGGTGCAGGAGCCCAAGGACTTGGGCCATCTTCCACTGCTTTCTCAGGCCATAACAGAGAGCTGGATCAGAAGTGGAGAAGCTGGGACTTGAACCAGCACCCATATGGAATGCCCGCACTGCACCCAGTGGTTTTACCTGCTACACCACAACGCTGGCCCCACTCTGTCTTTCAAATAAAACATTTTTTTTTAAAAGGATGAAGATCTGATACATGCCACACAGTGGTAAGCACTGAAAATATAGTTTCAAATGATAGAAACCAGTCAAAGGACCATATGCCGTTCAATTCCCTTTATATAAAATATCCACACAAGGCAAGTCCATAGAGACAAAACCTGGGGGACAAGGAATGAGGAGTGGCTGCTAATGACTATGGGTTTCTCCTGGGTGGTAGGAACCTCATGAAAGCAGGTAGTGTGGGTTCTTGCCAAACAGAGAAGAATTCTGAATACTGGCATAAATACATGAGGCAGGATAAGTTTTTAAGCTTTTTATGCAGTGAGAGAAATGCATGGGAGAGTGAGGGACCTATCTAAGAAAGAAAGGGAAATCTGGATTCCTACCGAGATCGGGAGCCAGCCGCATGGAGGAGCACGTAGGCCATAAAGCATGGAGCGGGTGGCCAGAAGACCACGCACCCCGAAGGCATGGGGCAGCAAAGGCCAAGCACAAAAGGGACAGTAAAGGCCCCGTGCAAAAGGGAAATGGGCCCACCGTGTTCCAGGCTTTTAATCCACTTCCAGAGGGGACTGGTTAATTAACCTGATTGGTTGGTGGCCGCACAGGTGTGGCCAGGTAGGGGCATGAGGTCACACAGGAGCTTGGTGAAGGCATGGTCTTCCAGCTCACAAACCCGGTCCACTTTATCCTGTACGCCTGCCTATGACAGTGACAGCGCACAACACTAGCAATGGACTTAAACCCTCTGAGCTGAATGTTAGCTGTGACCTATCAGGTTAAGCCGCCACCTGTGATGCTGGTATCCACTGTGGACACCAGTTCAAATCCTGACTGCTCCACTTCCGACCCAGCTACCCTGTTAATGGCCTAGGAAAACCAGCAGATGGAAGATCTCTGTGTGTTTCTCTGCTTCAGGTGAATAAACAAATCCTTTCTGAAAGAATACATATATATATGACGATGATTGAAAAAATCCATTTAGCTTTTGTCACTGGAGCCCCTTCAGGTCCCCGTGGCAGGAGGGCCAGGGAGTACATCAGTGGCTTGGAACCGGTCAGAGCGGCGCGGGGATGGCGGGCCCCGGGCGGCAGAGGCGAGCGGGCGCCGTTTGCAGCCCGGGGCGCAGCGCGGCGTGGGCTCTGAAGTGCTGGAGACGCCCACGGAGGCGGCGGCGGGCGCCAGGGGGACACCGGCTTTCCGGTTGCGCCTCCCGGCCTGGCGCCGGGCCACGACTCCCCGCTCGCCGCGCAGCGCCTGTTGCGCCCCCGGGAGGGCTGCGGGGCAGTGGCCGCGCCGTCGCCGCCCCACGCGGCCCGGCCTGGGCGAAGGCGCGCGGAGCCTCCGGGCCGGTGCCGGGCGTGTGTGGAGCCGTCGGGCGCGGCGGGCTGCGCAGGGCCGGCGGGGCTTGGGCTGCGCGGCGGAGGCGGGCACTTGGGCTTCGTCTTTGCGACCCTGTCTGGATTCTGCTTATGCCTCTTGGGCAGGGCTGTGGCCCAGGTGGCGCAGGTTCTGCTCAGGGCATCGCACCACGTGTGCACAGTTTCAGCTTTTCAGTTTGTCTCATTTGATGATCCCCTTTATCCCTGAGATGGTAAACACTGACAGAACAGTAGCAACCGATACCAGAAGTCTGATAGACTTCGCCACTGTAAAAATGTACCTGGGCGCTTGGGGCAGCGGCTGACACCACCTGGGACGCCAGGCCCACTCCTAATTCCAGGCTCCTGGTACTGGGCAGGCTGGGAGGCTGCAGGCTGAGTTCCTGGCTCTCAGCTTCACTTTGGTTCCAACCCTGGCTGTTGCCGACATTTGGGGAGTGAGCCAGCAGATGGATGACTGATCTCACTCTCTGCCTGTCAAGTAAACAATTTTTTCAAAGCACTTGGTGGGGGCCGGTGCTGTGGTGCAGCAGGTAAGGCCACCGCCTACAGTGCTGGCATCCCATATGGGCCCTGGTTCGAGTCCTGGCTGCTCCACTTCCGATCTAGCTCTCTGCTATGGCCTGGGAAAGCAGTAGAAGATGGCCCAAGTCCTTTGGTCCTTGCACCTATGTGAGATTCCTGGAAGAGGCTCCTGGCCATTGTGGCCAGTTGGGAAGTGGACCAGCAGATGGAAGACTCCTCTCTCTCTCTCTCTCTCTCTCTCTCTGCCTCTCCTTCCCTCTCTGTGTAACTCTGACTTTCAAATAAATAAATAAATCTTTAAAAAAACACACACACACATACACACACAGAGACAGTTTAAAATTAAAAAAAAAAAGCACTTGGTAGGGAAGTACTCAAACTACACAAAATATTGTTTCTCTTCAAATTTTTCAAATTTTATTCAACTTTTAAAAATATCATATGGACTCTTGGTTTCTATATGATACTCGGTTTTCCTGGTGATGCTTTATTTTTTGGGTTTTAAAGTGTTACTGTCATTTTTTTTTAAAGATTTATTTATTTATTTGAAAGAGTTACGAGAGAGAGAGTGAAAGACAAAAAAAGCGAAAGATCTTCCATCTACTGTTTCATTCTGCAAAAGGCCACAATAGCCAGGGCTGGGTGAGGCTGAAGCCAGGAGCCAGAGCATTCATCCTGGTCACCCATGTGAGTGGCAGGGGCCCAAATCCTCCTCTG